ATATATATATATACACACATATGCGCACACACACACACACATATATGTTAGAGAAAATTAGTTTATTTCTACTTTATATTTCAATGAAGACCTTAAATTGATTTTTTTAAAAAACCTATATGTATAGGTAGGTTAATTATTTCATTTAACCTGAATTTCATTTAAGGGAGGGAGGAGAGGGGGAGTGACAGAGGAGAGAGAGAATGAGCACAGGAAGCTTTTTTTTTTTTTTATGAATACATTTCCTTTATGGAGGGAGATAAACTAAACAAACAAACAAACAAAAACCACCAAAAACCCCAAACATGTGAAAACCCAGGGTGCTGGAAATGCAAACTCAACTCATTCAAATTCAAGCTCGTCCAGACGCTGGTCACAAACCCTAGTGAGGTGCCTGTGAGCATCAAGTCAGGGAGAGGGCACAGGAGTGAGGCCAAGAGAGAGAGTAGGAAAGGGGCCTCCACAGGCCCCTTAGTGATCACCCTCAGTGTTACCTCCACCTCTTCCCAGTGACAGTTTTCAAAGAAATCAAATCTTCGATGTATGGAAAGGTCAGTGCCAGCAGGGGCCAGGGGTCACCGGACCAGTGGAAGGTCAGCCAGTAGATGATGAGGGGCTGGAAGGCTGCAGCTCCCAGAGTCAGGTAGAGCTGGAGCTGCCGAGGGGCCGGAGCCCCCAGGCCGTCAGGGCCAGGGCTGCTGTTCGCAAAGAACGTGCAATGAAGTACCTGAGTGCAGGCGAAGTCCAGGCCAGTGCCACGCGGTAGCCATCACTGCCGAAGAGCAGCCCTGTGAGCACACTGAGGATCAGCCCGACGTATTTGCAGGTGGAAGGTGCTCAGGTCCCTACGCACGGTGGCCAGGTAGACGCCCAGGAGCAGGGCTAGCACCTCCAGCACCGCCCACACCAGTGCTGTGCTTGCACACAGGCCCAGCGCCTCTGGGGAGAACCTTTTCTGAATGCCCAGTGCCATCCCAGCCAGCAGCACGTAGGCGAGGAAGGCCATTGTGGGAATACAGAGGTCAGGGGTGTTGAGGTCTTGTCGCGGGGGCAGAGGGACATCACGATTGCACTGTACTTCCCAATTCTGGTGTGTATAGGGGAAGACCAGTAGCCCTAGCTTCTTGGCCACATAGGTTGTGTCTAATTTTCAACATATTCATTAGAGAAAGTTGGTGCTGGGCTGGTGGGAGTGAGTTTCTGCTCTCGTGGTGCCACCTTCCTCATTGTGGAGTTTAGGGAAGTGGCTCAGGGAAGTGACTCAAGGAAGTGGCTCGGGGAAGTGGCTCGGGGAAGTGACCCAAGGCAGTGACCCCAGGGCCAGCGAGCTTCTGTGTGTCCAAGGGCCACTTCATTGCTTTTGGGAAAAATTCAGCTTGTCAAATAGCTGAATGAGAATTTGTCTCCTTAACTAATATGAGTTATTTTGGTTGCTCCTTAGTTCTTATGTCAGCCACCTGAATAGTGATTTTTCATCAAAATATTTTATCACTTCTTTTTATACCGAACTCTCCCAGCGTTATGTGGGAAGACACAGAGTAGAAAAACAAACTTCCCAGCACAAGATTATCCTTTGTAGTGCATTTGTTTTCTGGCCCCAGTTCTTTCTTTGGAAAACTGTTATCATGGACTCAAAAGGGCAGGGCCATCTTTTAAAAAATATATATATATACTTTTATTGATTTCAGAGAGAGGAAGGGAGAGGGAGAAAGATAGAAACATCAATGAGACAGTCATTGATCAGCTGACTCCCACATGCTCCTGACTGGGGATCGAGTCCACAACCCGGGCCTGTGCCCTGCCCGGGAATCAAACCGCTACCTCCTGGATCCTAGGTCCATACTCAACCGCTGAGCCACGCCGGCTGGGCAAGGCCATCTTTTTTATTATTGTTCCCAAGAAATGGTTTTTAGCCATTAGACTGCTTTCTGCACATGGATTTCCGTTTTTCCTCCCTGTGCAGGACAGTTCTGGGTGCTTCAGTGGAACAGCCTGACTGCATGATGGGTGGTCTCTGAAGAGCTAGTTTTCCTGGTGGCCCCGGGCGTGTGGCACCACCAGGGGCATCAGGGTGCATGGCCTTGCCTCTGGTGGTTTCCTCCCTTGTCTTTAAGAGAACAAGGGGGTTGCAGCCCTGTGGGCAGTGCGTAGGGGCAGAGCTCACCAGGGCAGCCAGGGCACCGGGGTCCTGGGAAGGCTCGTGGGGCAGAGGGGTCTGTGTGCACTGTTTTGAAGGCTGTAGATTACAGATAGCAGACAAAGGAACCCACCTAAACCCTTGCTACTCCGAGTGTCTGCAGATCGACAGTCAGTGTCACCTGGGAGCTTATTAGAAATGCATGGCCTCAAGTATCATATGATTTCACTCATATGTGGAATCTAATGAACAAAATGAGCTATCAAGCCAAATAGAGACAGGCTCGGGCGGAGAGCTGGCTGCCAGCTGCCAGGGGGCGGGGCTGCTGGGTGGGGGGTTGGAAGGACTGAGAAAAAAAGAAAAAACTCATGGACATGGACAACAGTGTGGGGGTTGCGGGGTGGAGGGGGGTAAGTGGGTGATCAATGGTGATGGAAGGAGACCTGACTTGGGGTGGTGAACACACAATACAGTGTATAGATGATGTGTTATACCATTGTGCACCTGAAACCTGTATAATTATGTTAGCTAGTGTCACCCCAATAAATTCAATAAAAAAAGAAGTGCACAGTCTCAGGCCTCATCCCAGACCAACAAACCAGAACCTGTGTGTGAACAAGATCCCTATGTGACTCTGGTGCATATTCCAGTTCTAGACGCCCTGGGGCTCTAACCTTCATTCAAGGCTGCAGCCTTCGGACCACAGTGCAGGCACCGCTCCCTCCAGGAAGCCTTCCCAGCCCCTCTGCAGGCCTTGGGTGCTCCTCTCACGTCCCCCTGCACTTTGTCACCTGGATCTTGCAGGTTTCCTTGTGGCCTGTCTGCCCTTCCTCAGAGGTGAGCTCTAGCCCAGATTATTGTGTGCTCACCTTGCATGAGCAAGCTCCAGTCAGGAGGCTCGAGCCAATGAATGAATGAATGAGTGGGCAAGTGATTGACAAGACAGAAATAAAAGCCTAAAGTTCACAGAAGGGTAGATGTTTATTTTCGCTGCTTCTTAAACAAGCTCTACAAGGTAAAAACAAGACTCTTTCAATGCATACATTTTAAACCTCTGAAGTGACGTTTAGGATTCCCAGAGTGATGCGTTCTCTCGGGGATGCTGTTGCCAGTTGCTTTGTGAGGTAGGGAAGAGCAGCAGCAGAACCAAGGTCAAGGCCAAGTCCACAGCCCTCCCTGCCTTCTATTAGCTGCTTATCCAGTTGGCGGTGGGCAAGTCCTCTGTGGCACCCTTTCCCTCCTGAGGAGCGCCTGCAGCAGGACATGGGTGGGGAAGGGGAGGGCGCCCACCCACTGGACTCTGCTCTGTGTCGGCATCTTTGGTATAAGGAATAATCCCCAGGCCCGGGGAGGCTCGGGGAAGGAAGGCAGCCAATATGGACTGGGGTTGGCGACCCCGGGTGTGTTCCAGCTGCCCATTCTCTCCCTGCCACCTGTCAGCAGGGAACTGCTGGGCCCTCATATTGCCAAGCGGGTGCTGAAACCACTGCTTCACCTGCCTCCTTTGCAGAGAGCCTCTCTAAGGGCCACTGCAGCTGCTCCATCAGGGCCAATTTAGGAGACAAGCTTCTGCCACGCAGCTTCGGAGCTGCAATGGGAAACATCTGCAGGAAGCACCAGCTTCGCGGGGCTGCCTTCCCTCCATCAGTCACTAGCCTAACGAGATCTTCTTGCACTTGGCTTCTTTCCCCTTTTCACTGAAGGGCCCCGATGCGCTCCACAGACATGAGCTCACGAAGGCTCCCCGAGGAGGCAGGGCAGGGCATCCTCTCCCTGCAGCGCTATCTGCTCAGCCTTGTCAGCTGGGCTCTCTTTGTTCCAGCCTCACATGCCTTCTGGCCCAGGAGACCTAGGAAATGTAAGCGGGACCCCCAGCTCCTTTTCAGAGCCAAGTTCAGCCTTCCGTCAGGAGCTCACCCCATGTTCGAGGTGCTTTTTGTGTGAAATGACAGACCACCTTGGTTCTGCCAGGAGCTGGGGGCTCAGCGAACAACTGTGTGTTCACAGGGGAAGTAAAAACAGTTTCAGGGTGAATCAGGGAGGGGTGGCGTATGACTCAAGGGCACGTGTCCTGTGGCCCTGGCTGTGGTCCAGCCTCTTACGCTCTGTGGCCGCGGAACTTCAAGTTTGTAGCTTTGGTGGAAAGGGCGCCCCAGCTATTCCAAAACGCATCCCTCCTTTAAGAGGCACTTGGACCGGGGTGGCTTTCTGGGTGCTTGGAAGGCAGGCTCTCTGCCTGGTGGCAGCAGAGGGCACTGGAAGAGATCCCCAGTGTTTGCCACAGGGACAATTTAATGAAGACAACCAGTTCTTCAGCCCCGGGCGGGGGCTGGGGGGGAGGACCTGGGAAAGGCTGGATGCGCTGAGGAAGCCGCGTGCTCCCCCTGCGAGCGCTGTTACCGGGGCTGCTCTAGGCCTCCCTGCAGACGTTCAAACTAATGATCTACAGTGAGAAGGCACAGTGGTCGAAAGATCAGTCATCACCAACTTAAAGGAGGGGAAAAAAATCACACTTGCTCTCAAGGTGGGATTCATTAGTGCCTGAGGGAAAGAGGTGACTTCACACTCCCACTGGAGGACCAATTTGCAGCCACCAGGGTAACTCCTGACTGAGGAAAAAGCTCCCAGCTCAGGGAGGGTTAGGGAGAGCAGCCCCAACCTCAACCTCCCTTCTTTTCCCTCCCCCACTTGGCAAAGGAAGGGCCGTGAGTTGGTTCCCAGGGCAGAGAAACCATGACCCCAACCCCCCCGCCCCTGCCCTGCCACCTTAGAGCCCCAGCTCTGCAAAGGCCTTGGAGAAGTAGCAAAGGGGAGTGCGAGGCACAAATGGATCGACTCCACCAAGTGCAAGCCCCTCACTGCCTTTTCTGTGCAGAAAGTGTGTATGTATCTCAGCATATGCCAGTGTGAGCTGCTCTTCCCCTAACCCCTGGCACTCGCTTTTAAATCTACAAGTTAAATCTCAGGGACTGAACATTTTAGCTAAGTAAGTATAATGCAAATCCTGTTATATATATGAAATATATATGAATCTATATATCACACACATGTGTGTGTCATTCTGAATATTATCGAATACATACGCATCCCAGGAATTCGGACCTCAAACCACCAATTTGTGCACAATTACACCACACTGCACGACCAAGAATAAAAGCCCCGACAGCCTCGGGGCACTGTCCTGCCGGCCTGGTTCCCGAGCCAGGTGCAAGCTCCTCACACGTGGCTGGTCTTCTGGGCCAGGGCGTGGTCCATGGGCAGCGTGAACTTGACGGCGCTGTCCTTCTCCCAGCCCCTCCGGATCTTGGAGAGTCTGCGGCCTAAGCAGGGCAGCAGGAACAGGGCTTTGGCCAGGATGACGACGCAGGGCACCAGCAGCGTGAGTGTGAAGGTGGGAGGCAGGTAGAACTTGTAGCGGCTTTCCTCGAAGGCGCGGGTCCAGCCGTAGGTGAGCGTGTGCAGGGTGCTCAGCACCAGGGCCACAAAGCCCAGCGTGGACTGCGGAAGAAAGAAGGCTGCAGTGAGGGCCGGGGCCGACGGACACAGCTATTCCACCGACGGCTCACTGCCTGCCCGGCAGAGGGGAAGGAAGGAGGGCGGCTTTAGCAGCCAGGGCTCTGGGTTCAAATCCCAGCCCTATCACTCGCTCTCCGCACGACCTTATCACCACCTAAACTCTGAGCCTGTTTCCCCAATAGAAGAACAGGAATAATGCTTCTACCCCGAAGGTATATTATATTAGTTTCAGGCATATAACCCAGTGATTAGAAATTATACAACCCATTAAGTGAAAACCCAGATAAATCCAGTACCCACCTGACACCATACATACTTATTAGAATATTATTGACCAGTCCCTGTGCTGTACTTACATCCCCATGACTGTTCTGTAACTACTAATCTGTACTTCTTAATCCCTTCACTCTTTCACCCAGTCCCCAACCGCCCTCCCATCTTGCCAGAGGACTTTAGATGTTCAAAGAAGTTTAAAAAACATTTGACTAATTTTGCGTATGTTTTAATTATACTAGAGTAACAAGTGTCTATCAGCATACCAACATCTTAATTTCACAGATAATGTTTGGCCTAAGGCCAGATAAAAAAGTGAATTGATTTGAAACTGATTTAAAGGTAAACACAAAGTGCAAAATGCACTTGGCACGTGGATGTGGCATCAGTGGTGAAGGTGGCTCGTTGGGGCCTGACGGCTGGGTGACCTGGCACTGTCTGTACTTAAAGCCCAGGGCGCTGCACTGACGGCCTTCATGGGTGCTGGTCCCTCGCCTCCGGCCCAAACACTGAACCACAAACACCAGGTGGAAATCACCCTCCCGCCCGGAAGGAGGCGATGCCAGCGGGGAGATCGAGACCATGCGAGTCCTGTGGGAAACAGTCGAGGCTTGTTCCGACAGAGCCCACCCCTAAGCTGCCTGCGGGTCACGTTCAGCTAAGATTAGCTCCCCTCAGGTGCCTACACTCATGACTTTGTGTGGGAGCCGTGGTGAAGCGGCTGGAAGCGCTGCTCTGTAACTCCAGCCTCCGGGAGCTCCTGCCTGTCGGGTTTCCTGTGCCTACAAGTGCGCTCCCGGGTCTGCCGTCGGGGCTGGTCTTGACGTGCCCGACCCTGGGCGAGCCGCTTAGTCTGCCTCAGTGAGAAGTGATTCCAAACACAAGTCAGAGATGTAGGGGCCGCGGTGTAGACCAGCCTTCTCCAGCCGCCAGCCAGGCAGGCAGATGGACAGCAGGGCGCCCAGGGGTTAGGGCTTGATGGGGGGGGGAGGCACGGGGCAGGTCTGCATCTGGTAGATGGCTGCCCCCCATTTTGCTGAGTTCTTTTTTCTGGAGTTCTGTCCCCACCTTTCATTTGGGCCATGTTTCTTTGTCTCCTCATTTTGGCTGCCTCTCAGTGTTTTTTTCCGTGTATCAGGTAGACCTGCTATGTCTCCCAGTCTTGGCATGGTGGCCTTATACTGTAATTGTCCTGTGAGCCCCGTGGCAGTTTCCCTGATCTCGAGCTGGGCGCTCCAGGAGTGTCCCTTGTGTGGGTTGTGTGTCCTCCTGTTGTAGTTGAGCCTTGACTGCTGCTAGCATGTCTGTGGGTGGGGTTGACTCTCAGGCTGGCTGGCTGTGAGGACAGGACACAACCGCAGTGTATGAGCTACTGTGGGGAGCTGACCCCATGACGTGGAATTTGCCCAGCAGGGCCTGGTGCCTGCTGAGACCTCCCTTTGGGTGTGCTGCTTGTGGATCAATCAAGCGGTGCTCTGTGTGGTCTGAGGCCAGCCACCAGGTGTCTTAGTTCTGGGGCCTCTTCAGAGGGCCTAGCATGAGGCTGAGACCCCTCACTCCTCAGGGGGAGCTTCTGCCACGGAGACATCCCTTTGGATTCCCAATGTCACATGTAGGTGTGGGGCCAGCTTGCTTTGTGGCTTTGCCCCTCCCACCGGTCTCGACATGGCCTCTTTATATCCTTATAGGACTTCTGTTCAGCTGGTCTTCAGGTGGTTCTCCAGGTTGATTGCTCTATAATTTAGTTGTAATTTTGATGTGGACATGGGAGGAGGTGAGTGCAGCTTCCACCTGCTCTGACATCTTGGACCCTCTCCTGCAATCTAATGATGCCTAACTAGCTTAATTAGGAGCAGTTAGCACAGCCCAACCCAAATTAAAACACCACCACCACCACCACCATCCAAACAAACAAAAACCCAAATTTAACACTTTGAAAACGGCCTTGGGAACAAAAGGATAAATGTAAGTATGAGTTGCCTCTATGGAATCAATGCACTATTCTGATGGGGCTTTTAGCTAAATAAATCAGTAAAGACCCAAGGCTCAGCCAGGCTCGCTGAGACCTGGTGACTCACTATGGCTGGGGGGGAGGAAATGGAGCCTGGCTTGCTCCTTGCTGGCAGTGCTAACTTTACAGAAGGTAACAGCCCACCTCAGCAATCAGGCAGCCACTATTGGGCCTTGTGGCTTTTACATGTCTTCAACTCACGCACTTTCCATGCCAACTCAAATTCTACCGATGACCACAGGAAGAGGAAACAGACATCAGTGAGGACACAGATGTTCTGAGAGGCTAAAAATCCATCTTGGCACAGGGCTGGAGAGTGGTGGTCTTGGGACTGAAACTCAGTCTGCTGGCTCCAAACCTGTGTCTCTCCCCCAGAGGTGGCCACACACTGACTGCATCATGCACACCTAAGAGCCACCAGGAGCCAGCAATAAAAAAGCAACTTCCAGAGCCATCCAGCCACCCCCAGGCACCTGAGCTCATAGGTTAGGAATGAGCCTGTGCATCTGCACTTCTGGAAGAGAGCTCTGTGACTCCAAACTTTTCTGATGGTGGCTCACAGAATCACATTTCACATTATTGCCCAGTCGGCAACCAGGAGTGCCACATATGTATATATAACCACTGAATCAACACAACTTAAAAAACATCTATCCTGCCTGCCCAGCATGGCTCAGTGGTTGAGTGTGGACCTATGATCCAGGAGATCGTGGTTCGATTCCCGGGCAGGGCACATGCCCAGGTTGCAGGCTTGATCCCCAGTTGGGGGCGTGCAGGAGGCAGCTGATCAAGGATTCTCTCATCATTGATGTTTCTACCTCTCTCTCCCTCTCCCGTCCTCTCTCTGAAATCAATAAAAATATATTTTTTAAAAATCTATCCTTACAACATGCAGAGCCCTTTGATCTCTCCTTTGCCCTCTGTTCTAGTTCATGTCTTAGGAAGCTGGCCATGAGCCACTAAATTGATTTCATGACCACCATTGAGCATCAACTGCAGATAGTGACCTGGATCATTCTCACGCCCTGGGTGGGGGTCCCACAGCCTCTCTCTCGCTGCTTCCTCCTAACTCAGCCAGGGACAAAGGAATGTGGCCACGCACCCTAAGAATAATAGCAAAGTGCTTTTATCTTTCTGTCACACATAACCTCTCACAGCGGCTCACAGCATCCTTGCAGGGCATTAGCTCCATTTTACAAGAGGCTCTGGATGGGGGTGATCTGTCGCCAGTGACAGGGCCAGGAAGGGCCCAGGGCACTCCCACTCCCAGCTCCTCCTCCCATTACCAACCAACCCCCCCCACCCCCTTCCCGAGCATTTGCTTTTGTGGACAGAATGCTAGCGACTGATTGCCACAAGTAAAGCCCTGCTTTTCTCCCCATCTCCCACCTGCCAATCCTGCTGCTCCCGAGTGGCAGGACGACTTTCATAGTTGTCTTTTGGACTCTTCAATATGTAAAGCGGGGTGGGGCTGCGGAGGGCCCAGTGAGTTGGGCTAACAAAACCAAATCCTCCCGCTTCCCCGGGCGCCCCACAGCCTGCTTGTGATCTGCGGCTGCTTAAGGGAGCAACTTTCCGGTGAGAGGAGCAACCTGCAGTCTGTTTTAATTGTGGATAAACCATGCACCCCGGGATACCAGGCAGGAACAGGAAAATCGTAGATTTGGGTGTGCAACACATGAGGATTAGTGGCCAATAAATGAAATTCTTTTTTCCCATCTAATGCCGGCATGTGTCAGCCCTGAGCATTCCTCCAGGGACCTTCAGAGATGAGCAGAGCCAGTAAGATTCAGAAACTCACACACTTAAAAAACAACCACAGCTGTTTTGTTGTTTTTTTCCCCCATTGCTTTTCAGAGAGAGTAGAGGGGGGAGAGAGAGAGAGACAGAAATATCTACGAGAGAGAGACACACTGACTGGTTGCAGGGCCGGGGATGGAGCCTGCCACCAAGGTACCTGCCCTCGGCAGGAACTGAACAGAACCCGGGACCCTTCAGTCCGCAGGCCAATGCTCTAACCACTGAGCAAACCAGCTAGGGCTACCACAGCTGTTTCATGCTAAGGTGTGTGAGTGGTCCCAATCAGGACAATTAATTTGGGTTACATAAGAGCCCTGCTCTATCAGTGCCCCTCTTTGAATTCTGTACTGTGTCCTGGCTGCAAAGAGAAGATTGCAACAGATTTCTGTTGACAGTGGGGGTGTTCTCTGGCCTGACACAACAGCAGGGGCAGAATCCAGTGTTAGTCAGCTGCCGCCCATGGGAGGGGTGGAGTTAACCCACCAACACTGGGGAGCTGGCCACAGGTTCTCCATGGAAACAACCGCAGATGCCAAACAAATGTAAAAAAAGTCATCTCCGTTGTCCTTATCATTGAAATGTGTCTATGCCTGTCTTGTTCCCTGTTACATCCCAGGTCTAGCGAGATTTGGCTGGCATGTAGTAAGTGCTGAATAAACAGTTACCACTGAATAAATGCATAAAGAACCTTTTGTTACTAGCAGCATTTCTCAAAGTGTATTCTGTGGAGTGCAGACAGTGCTCAAATAAGTCTGGTTAACCAGGTTTGTTGCTGTAGACGTTACTAGAATCTTCCATGTGCCAAAGAGCATTGTGTCTCCCTTGGGGAGCAGCAAGCTTTTACTCAGATGCATCTGACTAACCTCCTTTCCTCTGGATTTTTCACAGGATTTTTCAATGGTGTCTTTGGGAAATGCTGTTTCATCCCCTATAAACAGGTGATCCCCATGCTCACCTCCCTTCTGCCCTGCCCAAATCAAGGGATTGAAGGGACCAACAGGGCTGGGCTGAGAGGAGGGTGCTGGGTGGTCGGCTAGGCTCCCTCACGGGCTCACAGACTCCCCGTTAGGCCAGTGAGATGTCCAATGACTGCGCATCATGAGATTTTGTTTGGGAAGCTCAAGAATTGTAGAAACTGATTCTGTTTAATCCAAGGTTCAGGGGTCTGTTGTCTAACGTTTTCACAAGCTTATATCTGGACTCCCCAGATGTCAGGAGGCTGAGCTTGTCTCGGGCAGCCCTTTATCGGGGGCTTGGGTGGGCCCGGAAGCCCCTGGCTTCTGACCCAGTGGTCGTCTTGTCTGGATTAGCACAACCCAGGCAGTTTGCCAAGGGGAAGGGGCTGGCACACGAGGTGAGGCGAGGCCAGGGGGGCTCATTAACAGGCAGACCTACTTTACCTGAACAAAGCTGAACTCCCTCCAGTTGAGCGAGTTTGCGATGGATGGCAGAGAGGTGACAGCCAGTAGGGACAGCGTGCCAAGGGCCAGCACTCCCAGGGAGAGGTATATTTCCATCCGCCAGACATTTTCCTCAACCCAGAGGTGACTCTTGTTGGTCAAGACCTGGTGTGGAAGGAAGGAAACCATGAACATGGTGGCAATGGTCGGTGCTCTGGGATGTGGTGAGTGGATACCTTTGGATGCCAGACAGAGTAATGGTTAATGAGAGAGTAAGGGCTGATGTTTCCACCACACGTAACATGTGCCTGGCTCTGCTCTAAGCTCTTCTCGGGTATCGGATCATCTGATTCTCACAACCACCCCACGAAGCAGAGGTCACTCTTACCCTCATTTTACAGAACAGGGAAATGAGGCGAAAAGCTGAAGTACCTTCCCCATGGTCACAGCTAGCTAGGAGATGGTAGAGCTGGGATCAGGACCCAGGCGATCTGGCTCCAAAGGCACAGGTTCCCTTCCCTCCCTGTGGCTTTCACAGATCTGCCTGCCAGCCAACCAGACGGTGACATGAGCCGGGTGAGAGTCAGAGAAATCAACAAGACGTGCAGACCCTTCAAACATGACCATATCGCCGGGCTTCTGATCCTCAGACCCCGAAGGAGGGAAGGAGAAGCTCTCCTAGCTGGGAATCCCCTCAGTCAGATGGGCTCATGTTTCTGCTGCCTGCCTGCTCCCCGACCCTTTGCCTTCCTGGTCCCCCAACCAGCCCCCATCACTGCCTCGCACTCAGGGCTCACAGACACACAGACACTAATGTCCCCAGCTCCCACCTCCCACCCAGATCCCCAGTTCTGTCAGATGCATGTAGTTTTGGCTTACCACTGCCAGGCAACAGTGACTAACGCACTCACCAAGCACCCCGGTGAGCACTTATAAAGCACCTACTGTGTGCAGGGCCCTGGGCTGCAGAGGGCAAGGATATCTGCTCTCACAGAGCTCTGGGATTCCCCACGAGCTCCAGGGACACAAATCAGGGTCCATGTGGGCCTGGAGGTTTCTACCCCCCCACCCCACCCAGTGTCTTTGCAGCCGAGCCCCCTCCCAGCCCGGCTGACACATGGGGAACTTTTAGCAAGGTCATTCCATTAGAACTGCCATTTCCTAATGAGACCGGTAGCACAGCTCCTGGAAGTCGAGGTGTCCTCTGAGAAACACTATGAAACGCTGGTGCTTTATTCTACCAGCAGAACAAGGAAGAGTCTGTCCATTAGGAAATGTGATGATGCGTCAGCAGGCAGGCCTCTGCTTTGCAAAACAGAATGACTCACACAGGGTTTTGAGAAAGTATTTCAGCAGGAAAAATAACCCAAGTCCAGTGACCAGATATAACATTAAAAATTAATCTAGTGGGCTGAGCAAAATGGTTGAGGAGCTTATGAGAGAAAGTTTAAAAAACTAGAAAATGTCATCAGCTGGGTACTTCTGCAATTTGAGAAAAGTGACTGCCTCTGTTCTAACTTTAAGGGCAGGCTGGCTCGCTCTGGTGTTTAAGACTCAAAAGAACCAAGAGTCTGGGGACCCAGCTTCTCGTCCTTACCACAAGTCCTACGTGTGACTGGGCTTCCTTTCTGCCCCAAAGGGCAATGGGTGAGGTCACGTCTAAAACCCTATGACTGCTGCTAGTGGACAGGCCAACATCAGTATTGGCTAGAGAGGTGGCTGACGTTACCCCACAGAGGGCAGGTGGAGCCCGCGCAGCTGAGCCCCAAGAAGCCTTACTCAGGCCCCAGCTCGTTACAGCCGCCGGGTCACCTCCTGGCTGCAGGCTGTTTGTTCTCCAAGCACTCTGTCGCTGCTCTCTGCATGTTGGTAAGATAGGGCCATTCATGTCACAAGTCAGGGTGTGGATGATCACACACACCACAGTTGCTTGCAAAATGTCTTGTTTTTTTCCTCTAACACTTTTGCTCTGCAGGATGCTGGAAAGGGGCGGGAGAGGGAGCCGAGGATGGATTGGAGCCCGAGGAGGATCTGGATCCACCAGCTCCCTTCCACAGCCTGTGAGATTCTCACTCAACCTGCTGAACCCAGTGCTGGACTCGGGGCTCCCAGTGGCCAGCATCACCCACGACTGGAACACAGACCTGACAGCTCTCCACGCCCCTAGTAATTCTCCTGTGTCTAGAGCTAATCAAGGCAGCCACGTGGAGAATGACAGGAGGTCTGTTCATCAGCAGACGGCGAAACGGTGGCTGCATTCATGTGGGATTTCCTTTCCCTGTAGGCTGCAGGTTAGACCCTGAAGGACCCAGGGCCAGGAGGGCCAGGGGCTACACATCAGCCCCTCTCCGTGTCCCAAGGGTGGGTGATGGGTGGGAAGAGAGCGGTGCAGACCCGGAGAAGGGGAGGCAGGATGTGGAAGGAGCAGCCTGTAGTGGGGGAAGAATCCCAAGGCCTGGATTCCAACCCAACTCTGCCTGGGGGCAGTCATGGGACCCTGGCTGCTGGCAACACTGTCTCCTTCTCACTGTGTTACTGGAAAGACCAAAAAGAGGATGTTTGTGGCACAAGTGGCACGTGACTGGCACACACGAGGTGATTAATGTAAGTGGCTGGTGCCGTTGTTCCTAATGAGAACTGGGCAGTTGGACTAGCTCTTGCTCCAAGTTCTACATGCACTCCTCCTAAGAGATGCCTGGTATTGGCTTGTGGCGGCCAAGTTAACAGCCACTCGGTGAACACGGGGTGGGAACCTGTGCCACAAACATGGGCCCCGGGCGTGAAGGCCTGGTCATGAACTCTGAGTCAGGAGAAAGACAGGCGTGCAAATGACTGGCCACAAGGTGCTGCATGAGAAAAATCAGAGAAGCGCACAACATGCATTTCGCAGAGATGAGCGTGGCGGGGAGATGAGCTGGGGCGCTGAAAGCAGTAGTTTTGAAGGAAGGACAGGAGTTTGTCAGGCTGTCAAGGTGTCCAGGGTGGGGAGCCCAGGCCAAAAGGAATGAGCTTTGTCCATTCGTAGGACAGTATGTGACCTAATGTGATGGGTCACAAGAGCAGTGGGAGATGTGGCCAGGAGACAGGGAGGCTGCATGGTGAACAGTCTGTCACTACCCCAAGGGCAGTGCGGCGTCGCTGAGAGCTTTTCAGCAGTGACATGGTAAATGTGAGTTTTAGACAGTTCCCTCTGATAGCCTAGACTAGACCTAGGGCGAAGGGGAGAAGAAAACTGTGTTGGTTAAATATTTTCTTTGATCTTGATCTTGAAATGCATTTCTAGGGAACTGCACAAGCAAATCAGAAACACTGCAAATATTGGTTATTGTCCGTAATAATACAGTCAATAAACATGGTCAGAGAGGTTTTCTCCACAGCTGGGATACAGGTCTATAGCTGGGATATAGTTCTACAGCTAGGATACAGCTCTACAGCTGTGATACAGGTCTACAGCTGGGATACAGGTCTATAGCTGGGATATAGTTCTACAGCTGGGATACAGCTCTACAGCTGGGATACAGGTCTATAGCTGGGATATAGTTCTACAGCTGGGATACAGGTCTACAGCTGGGATACAGCTCTACAGCTGGAATACAGCTCTGCCTCCAAGTCTTCAGACTCAGGGGCTTAAAGGAAACCCCATGTCTCCTGTGCCCTGCCTAACTAGATCCCTCACCCAAAGGCCCAGCAGGGCAGCCAGGACAGTGAGCCTGCACCCACTAGGAGGCCCTGAGGGGCGGCTCAAGGGCAGGATGGGAAAGGTGCACATCAGGCACCCTGGAGGCCCTGCTGCAAAGGGCTGAATGCAGAACATCCTCGGATGTCCAGTCTCAGCGCCTGCGAACAAGGCTGACCCGTGGACCTTAACATCTGCTTCAACACCTCCAGGTCAGGTGACTCACCGCTGGGCTGCTCTGCTCTGTCAGCGCCCCACCTTCCTCTAACAATGCCCCTCTCCGACATACCCACACCATCCCTGGCTCTGCCCTCCAGAACTCTGCAGAACAAGTTTAAGCCCCTTTGTGTGACAGGCCTTTGCTGCCTCTGAGAGTGATCCAGTCCTGTGGGAGTGATGGTTGCCTGGCAACCTCCACCAGGGCCTCCAGCCCTAAAGGGCTTTGGAATTTGGGGAAACTACCTGGCATGCGCTCCTGTGCCCTAGTATTTGCATCATGGCAACACTAGGTTAACATACTGTCAAGGAGAGCCTTGCCTGGGTGGAGAATTGAGAGAAAGAACATTAGAGAGAGAGTGGGGGGGG